TACGTAGCAACCAGCACTGAAAGATGACCAAAGGAATCACACAGTGACACTGAATCTCATGGAACTCATGGGCAGTGACTATATTACATTGACATTTTAAAGTCCCTTGAGTAATCAGCCACAAATGTTTCATTTCAAAGTGTGCTACAAATGCTAGGAGTTGAAAAACACCGGGAGGGAATATTTCAAGACTTAGAAGATGTGAAAAGATTTCCTGGCAGAAATCCCAAATCTGAGCACAACCCAGAAAACAGTGAAGACTGAAAAAAAAAGTGACCCAAGAGAGAGCAGGAGATTCCAAACAATAATTTGAAATTAAAAGCTGTTGCAAAATTGAACATGAAGCCTATGCAGGAAGATGTTTTTGAAGGGATTCCAAACGAGGTACTAACTATCTGGACAGTTGGTGGGAGAGAGGGAGAAAGAAAGAAGGTCAACAACAAATATGGCACTCCCAAAATGGAAGAGGCCCACATTACAGCCCCTCCTTTTCTTTTTAGATCCTTAGGTATTAACGTGCAAAACTTAATTTTTTGTAGAGCACAGCTAGTGTACAACTGCTGGGATTTTAAACTAGAGTTTAGAGTTTGAGTTTAACTCCAACTATTATGAAAGCAGAACGTTCAAGGCAGTCCACTTCTCTCCTGGTTTCTTCTGACAATGTGGTAGTAATTAAATAAGCTGGCTATACAGGTAGAAATAAAATAAATTGAACTCACTTGCATTCGGTGGTCAGATTCAAGCCTATTATTAAGGAAGAGAAAACATCCATTCAATTTTTAAAAAATATTTTAGCTATAGATGGACACAATATCTTTATTTTTTTATGTGGTGCTGAGAACTGAATCCAATGCCTCACACGTGCTAGGAAAGCATTCTACCACTGAGCCACAACCCCAGCCCCATTCATTCATTTTTAAAACAAGTTTGTTTGATTTTTTTTTCCAGTACTGGAGATTGAACCCAGGGTCCCTTTATCACTGAGATGCATCCCTAGCCCTTTTTCATTTTCTTTTTTGAGATAGGTTCTGCTAAGTTGCCAAGGCTGGCCTCAAATATGCAATCTCCTGCCTCAACCTCCTAAGTAGCTAGGATTACAGGTATTCACCACCATGCCTTGCTAAGCAAGTTTTCATGTGTACCTACTATTTCCAGCTTCTATACTAGGCTCAGGAATATAATGTTGAGCAAAACAAACAGAACCTTTACCCTCACATAGCATTGCAGATGATAAGATGTGAGTTAATTATATAATCTTTACATCTTACGTATAAACTGGGAAAGTCTATAGAAGGAAAGAACACAGAGCATAGGAGATGAAGGAAGCTTTTACTGGAGGTGTAGTTGCAGTCAGCCAGGAAGGATGGTGGAGACAGGTGGCCAAGAGCATGATGGTGGGTTGGGTTGGGGGGTGAGTGGGGGTTGGCATGATGAGTGGCACAGGGAAAACAAAGGCTGGTGTGTCCAGGGCAAAGAGAGCTAGAGAGGCAGGCAGGGCTGGACCTGACAGAGCCTTGGGACTTCTTAAGGGATTGCAGGGTTTTGTTTGTTATTTGTAGTGCTGGGGAAGAACTCAGGGCTTCACATGTGCTAGGCAAACACTCTACCACTGAGCCACATCCTCAGCCTACAGGGTTTTTTTGTACACAATTGCAGCACAACTTTACATTTCTATGGCTGTACACAATGTAGCATCACACCATATGTGCAGTTATACTAGTACCTAGGGTAATGATGTCCATCTCATTCCATCATCTTTCCTATCTCTARTACTCACTCCCCACCCTTCCTCCCCTTTCCTCCATCAAAGTTCCTCTGTTTTTCCCATCCCCCCCCCATTATGGATCAGCATTCGCTTATCAGAACATTTGGCCTTTGGATTTTGGGGACTGGCTTACTTTACTTAACACAATATTTTCCAACGCCATCCATTTATCTGCAAATGCCATGATTTTATTCCCTTTTAATGCCGAGTAATATCCCAATGTATATATATATACACACACCACATTTATTTTTATCCATTCATCTATTGAAGGGCATTAGGTTGCTTCCACAGTTTAGCTATTGTGAATTGAGCTTCTATAAACATTGATGTGGCTGTGTCCCTGTAGAATGCTGATTTTAAGTCCTTTGGGTATAGACGAAGGAGTGGGATAGCTGGGTCAAATGGTGGTTCCATTCTAAGTTTTCTAAGGACTCTCCATACTACTTTCCAGATTGGTTGCACCAATTTGCAGTCCCACTAGCAATGTATGAGTGTACCTTTTCCCCCACATCCTCGCCAACATTTATTGTTGCCTGTATTCTTGATGATTGCCATTCTGATAGGAGTGAGATGGAATCTTAGCCTAGTTTTGATTTGCATTTCTCTAATTGCTAGAGATGATGAACATTTTTTCATATATTTGTTGATCAAATGTATATCTTCTTCTAAGAAGTGTCTGTACAGCTTCTTAGCCCATTTATTGATTGAGCTGTTTGTTTTTTTGGTGTTAAGTTTTTTGAGTTTTTCATATATACTGGAGATTAATGCTCTATTTGGTGTGCATGTGGCAAAAGTTTGTTCCCAAAATGTAGGCTCTTTATTCACCTCAGTGATTGCTTCTTTCACTGAGAAGAGATTTTTAGTCTGAGTCCATCCCCATTTATTCTTGATTTTATTTCCTGTGCTTTAGGAGTCTTGTTAAGGAAGTCGGGGCCTAATCAGATATGATGAAGATTTGGGCTTACTTTTACCTCTATTAGGCACAGGATCTCTGGCCTAATTCCTAGGTCCTTGATCCATTTGAGTTGAGTTTTATGCATGATGAGAGATAGGGGTTTAGTTTCATTTTGCTGCATATGGATTTCCAGTTCTCCGAGCACCATTTGAAGAGGCTATCTTTTCTCCAAAAGCATTTGACAAAATATAGCACCTTTTCATGTTCAAAGCACTAGAAAAACTAGGGAGAGTAGGAACATACCTCAATATTGTAAAAGTCATAGATGCTAAACCCAACGTCATTCTAAATGGAGAAAAATTGGAAGCATTCCCTCTAACAAACTGGAATAGACAGGGATGCGCCCTTTCGCCACTTCTAAGAACTATTCAACATAGTTCTTGAAACTCCAGCCAGAGCAATTAGAAGAAAGAAATTAAAGGGTTATAAATAGGAAAAGAAAAATTCAAACTATCATTATTTGCTGACGGCATGATTCTATATGTAGAGAATCCAAAAAACTCTACCAGAAAACTTCTGGAATTAATTAATGAATTCAGCAAAGTAGCAGGATATAAAATCAATACCCATAAATCAAATGCATTTCTATACATCAGTGATGAATCCTCTGAAAGAAAAATTAGGAAAACTACCCCATTCACAATAGCCTCAAACAAACAAACAAACACTTTGGGAATCAACAAAAGAGGTGAAAGACCTCTACTATGAAAACTACAGAACACTATAGACAGAAACTGAAGACGACTTTAGAAGATGGAAAGATATCCCATGCTCTTAGATAAGCAAAATTAATATTGTCAAAATGACCATACTACCCAAAGTGCTATACAGATTCAATATGATTCCAACTAAAATCCTAACATCATTTCTTATAGAAATAGAAAAAGTAGTCATGAAATTCATTTGGAAAAATAAGAAACCCAGAATAGCCAAAGCAATCCTTAGCAAAAAAAGAGTGAAGCAGGAGCATCACAATACTAGACCCTAAACTATAATACAGAGCTTTAGTAACAAAAATGACATGGTATTAGCACCAAAATAGACATGTAGACCAATGGTACAGAATAGAAGACACAGAGACAAACCCACATACATACAGTTATCTCATACTAGACAAAGGTGCCAAAAAAATACATTAAAGAAAAGCCTACAGTTTTTATGTTTTTATTCTTAAGAGCAGCAGGCAGTTGTTGTAGGAGAGATGAGGCTGGGCACAGAGGAATTAGCAGGAATCAGGTTTGTTGACTGCAACCAGGTCCAGAGGCAGCTTTTGCCTAAATCAATTTGTCCCTCTGAATCCCGAGTCCAGAAATTTTTAGAACTTTTATACCCAGTGTGTAGGGGGAGGGGCTCAGAGGCTCACCATCTGCAGAAGTCCACATAAAAGTAGGCACCCAACCTAGGTCTGAATACAAAAATAATACAAAAATAACTCAAGGACACACTCTGCGAAATCAATGCCTGAGAAAAGGAGAGTCCTGTGGGGTCCCTGCCCTTCCCCCCTTCACCCCCCCCCCCGCCCCCCCCCCCAAGGAACCATAGGAACCTAATTTGCACCATTCACTCTTATTTTTGGATTGTAAAGGACTTTCCCTGGGATCTGATTGCTTTTCTTTGAAGCCCTGTGAAGGCAAGGCTTGGCTAGAGGCCTTGAGTTAGTCTACCTTCTCACAGTCTGCTTCTATAAACACACTTCCCACCTGAAAACTCTTGCAGAAATTCTTGCTAATAGTCTAAGAACAGTTAGTCTAAGGTCGCTGGAGAAGCTTAATTACGATTTTCGGTGGTGGGGGGGGGGTGCAACTACACAGCCAGGGAGGAGTGAAGCTATCAAATATTCATCTCTAAGGATTATTCTGGCTGCCCTGTGGAAATGGACCAATTGCTTGTGTTGAGGGGGCAGAGGAGGAGATATGGGGAAAGCCTGTGAAGGTTATTACTGTTGACCAGCAAATCAGTAAAATGTGACGCCACCAAATGAGTTCAGAGGCTTGGTCCAGATTGAGAGCAAGTGAGGACTGGAAACAGGTGGAAAATGGAGGGGTGGGCATGGGAATGATTTCCCTGTCTCTGGCTGTCTGGATCACTTAAGACAAGTTCCTGGCAGGCCTTGGAGAAGGGGAGCCTTTCCTGATCACCTTCCACATGCTTGGAGGGGCCTCTTGGCTAAGTGGACCCTGGCTATATAATCAATTCCTGTTGCCTGCAGGTCCCCTGGAGGATGCCTCCTAACATGCCCAGGTCTCTTCATCTCTCCTCTCTTGTGCACTTTCATAGGCACCACGTGCCCTACCCCCATGTCTGTTGAACATGCAGATATCCGGGTCAAGAGTTACACCTTGAACTCCAGGGAGCGGTACGTTTGTAACTCTGGTTTTAGGCGGAAGGCCGGCACATCCAGCCTCACTGAGTGTGTGTTGAACAAGACCACGAACACCGCCCACTGGACTATGCCCAGTCTCAAGTGCATCAGTAAGTAGCCAGTACCAGGACTGTCCCCACCCCTTCTGCCCAGGCTTAACACGGAGCACAGCGGCATTGTGGGAGTTGGACAAGCCGGTCTCTGGGCAAAGAGATACCTATTGGGGTCTGAGGCTAAATATGCCCATGAGGCTGAGCAACATCTGCCAGAGGTGGAGATACTAGGTATTGGGGTCACAGAATTTTGGGTTCAAATACTGGTTGTGCTGCTTATCACATTGAGGCCTCCGGCAAGGCTTTTAGCCTGTTGGAACTCTGGTTGGACATCTAGAAAATGAACCTGATGTCAACACTGTGGGTTGTAGGAGGATTAAAAGGAGCCTGGTAAATATGAGCTATTACTACTATCCATGTGGGTTGTAAAATCAGCAAGAGAATTGGCTGATTCTGATTCTCAATCACATCCCTAACAAGGGTGTGCTTGCTTCCTGGAGAGCTTTTTGGATTTCTCATGAGAAGCTGAACTCTCTTGAGATCTTGATGATTGGTACTCAACCCAGTAGGCTGAAGTAGGCCCAGACAGCAGAATTTTTCTTGGCCTAGTCACCATATTTGGTATTCAGCCAATGCTCAAGAGCAAGGAGATGAGGAAGTTACAAGAATTAAAAAAATAAAATAARATAAAAATTACCTATCCACTACTGAATTGCCATCCCAGAGGAAGTCAAATAATTTTGGAATGGAAACTAAGCCATTCAGTGATATTTCCAGAAATACTTAAGTCCTGTTCTGCTCCCCTTATTCCTCTGGGAAAATAAACGTTAACCCAGGGTCTTTCAAGAGAATTCTGATTGAACAAACATTCATGATATGCTCACTGCTGCCCAGCAGCAGCTAGATACATTCTCATAGAGCATCTGTGGAGATGTCTGACTCCTTTCTGGGACACAGGATGGGAAGTGGGGGTCTTTTAGCAAATTTCCTCTGTTGGAAACTCCCAGAAGAGCCATACTTTCTTGCTGGATTTGTAGTGTTAGATTACCCCTCTCCCTTTCCAGCTGCTCAGAATGAGTTAGTTATACAGATGTCAAGAGAAGGGAAGGAGGGAATCCTTACCACTAGTTCCAAGGAACTGCAGGACTGGAGAACACTGCACTCCACGGCATTGGGTACAGTTGAAGGGAAAAACCCAGGGTGGCCAGGGACAAGCAGTGTCCGTGGAGCCAGAAGTGGAAAAATCAGGACTTTTTCAGTGTTGGGAAAATTATGTTGACTCAAAGCTCCACATCTTTGGGTGAATGAGTAGGATGGAGAAGAAGTACGGCTCTGAACAGGGCCAAGAGGGGAGAGGAAACAAAGAATTTTAAACCAGATTTTAGAGCCCACCGATTGGAGGCATCTTTAGGTTTCCTCTGGACTAAAGTTTCCTCCCTCACAAATCTTTATCACTAGCAACTCTGTTCATTGTGTTTCCCAACCCCTTATGCTTTGGATGATTTTTTTTTCTGTTAGGCAAATGGAATCTATTTTGATCACTCATTTTCCCGTGGGAAAACCAGGATTATAAACCTGAGTTGATATCAGATGTATTCCAACCAAAAATAAATTTGATGTTTCACCTGTGCAGTCTTTTTTTAGAAATGCTAGAAAAATTATAATCTGTCTTTGCATTTGGGTTGGGAAACACTGTTTCCTTCCTGTGCTTCTAACCTGTCCTAAGAAGCCAGCTATTTCCATTGTAAATTTATGTATTGATCTTTTATTTATATCCAGTTCTGATGCCACCTTAGTGTTCACGCTCAGGATCATAAATGCCATGTGGTTGTCCTTTCTCTAGGAGACCCCTCCCTGACTCACCAAAGGCCAGTGCCAGTGCCACACTCCACAGTAGTGACGGCAAGGGTGACCCCACAGCCAGAGAGCCCCTCCCCTTCTGGAAAAGGTAGGAATAAAGGAAAATTTTTAGGAACTACCATCTAGATCCCTCCTTCTCCACCAATCCTGAAGATTCATGGACCTCTGATGATGTTCCAGTGACAACTTGAGCGATAGAGCAAAATTTTATTAAAATCAAAAATAAGACAATAGCTTAATTGTTTAAGTCAAAGTGGCTTGAGATCTAGGTTTCATATGTACATAAATAATAGTATTTAGAATCCACTATTAATATGCCAAACCATATTTAGTTGTACACATTTATCATTGTCAAGAATTGGAAACAGTCTAAAATTTGACCTCACTTGTTTGTTAGTCTGTCACTTTGTCATGGGTGCTGACATTCTTGGAGGGTAAACAAATAACTTTTTCACTTGGTGTACAAGTAGCAAGAGCATCAGCATGTTAGCAATAATCCCTTGACTCTCAGGCCCGAAGGGCAACTTCGATGGGCCTAAATAAATGCATGCATTGTTCAGCAGGCTGCACTGTCTGGGAGGAAGGCTGAACTCAGGGAATCTGAATGTTTTATACTTGGCAGCAAATATGTCTGCCYTTTCCTAGAAAGAGGCACTGTCTCTGTCTTCAAAGGTACTTGCAATATATGTGTCCTTAAGCAGATAGTTCAGAGAAAGGTCTGTCAGGCCCTTGTATGCAAGATGTGTAGCAATGTGAGGGACCCAGGAAGAGTTGTCACCCCTTGGTCCTAGGCATCACCAAATTAACAATAGTGCTCTATTATAGAAGCACTGCATGAAACCACCAATGTTCTGTATTTTAACTAAGTCTTGGGTAATCTTTTAGCCCAATTTCCTCAACACTTTCTCAATTGGAAACACTGGAAGCTAAATATCTTGGCTAATATGCCTCATATCCCATGGCACCCTTATTTTACATTTAACTCTTTTTTTTTAGGGCCAAATCATTCAATCTGTGACTTTACCTGGCTCTTTCTTCCCTCCTTCTCGCCAGATGTGGTCATCTTTCTTTTCATTCATTCTGTTCTCTTCAGGCACACCTTCCCAGAGCTTTGGTTCTCAGCCTTGGAGGCACAGTGAGAATACCAAGAAACTCCACATGGTCCAGGGAATGATCTGGAGTCAGAGGCTATAGAACAAGAACCATGTGGTTCTAGGGTAGCCCAGGCTAAGGACCATTGCTCAAAGCAGGACAGAGAGGCTGAAGGGAGGCTTCCTCTTCGTAATGGGTTGCTTGCAAACAAAAATAAGGAGTTAAAGTGTTAGCTCCATTTATGTTGAGGGTAATTCCCAAACTCCTTTGATCTGAATCACACACAGTTCAGAGAGATAAGAATGACCAAGTAACCTTTCCCAGTCCTGCCTCCATGCCCCCAACACTTGGTCAAATAGCTGTTGCTGAGACAAACCTCAGATGTAAGAGAAACCTTTAACACAAATTATGTGACTGTGGGTGATTGGATGTGAATGCTCCAGTGTCTTGATCTGCAGGGCACCTGGAGTGTGGGCAGCTTAGGTAGGGTTAGGTGGAAGTGAGGTAGTGACAAAAGATTGGAGGGTATGAGGACTTCTCACAATGTGTGTGGCTGGGAAAGAATGGGAACTCAGGCCCCAACTGTGCATCCAGAGCCTGATGAAAAAATATAATCAGCATCCCAGCTGCCTTCAGCAAATACAGCTCTACTTGTGTTTTGGAGCCAAGTCTATCAGTATTTCATGAGCTTTTCTAGGAAACAGCTGAATGTACTTAACTGTGAGGGATCTTTTCTTTCTATGCATCACGGTAAATAACAGTATTTTTTAGAGTTATCACACATCCCATGACTCAAATGGAGGATATGTTGCTCACTTAAAGGACAGTTTGCTGGGAGTGAATGGGCTGCCACGGTGGGTTCACCAAAGTAGGTCTTTAGGTCCACCCTCTGCTGGAGCTGAGAAGGCACTAGTCTAAATATTTATGTTCTGTCTTGGAATTTCCTACAGAGCCAGCAGTTTTATCTCCCAAGTCAGATACCACAGTGGCCATAGAGACAGCTATGGTACCAGGCTCCCAGTCGATGCCATCCCAACCAACCTCCTCAGGAACCACAAGCGTAGGCAGCCATGAGTCCTCCCAAGCCCCATCCCAGACTACAGCAAAGACCTTGGAACTTACACCCTCAAACTCCCACGAGACACCAGGTTAGCACTAGCTTTGCATGAGAACCAGTTCCTCAGGGGCTGCTTCTGAGACTTGGGTTGAGACCTGGCCCAAGATAACTGCATGGCTTTATAACATTCAATCTCAAGCTGCGACTCACAGAGCTGCCCTCCTGCCCTCTGCCTCCCACAGGCCCCTTGCCTGGTCTCTGTTTTTGATGTTCCACCTGGCCTGGTCCAGTTGGGACAGCTGGAAATGAAATCCCCCTCCCAGATATGACATGGCTAACCTTACTAGCCAGCACTGCAGAGACTGGACTAGGACTCTAAATGCCATCTGCAGCCTCCACCATGGGAGGGCCCTTCTGGAAAGCATGTCCGACTCTTAGGCATGGTCTAGCACCTCAGTCAATTACCCTGCTTGTTCTTTGCTAAGAAGAGTTTGGTTATGCCAGCCATGAATCTCCTAAGGGTCTAAGATGGTAGCTCAGTGGTCCCTTATTTCTCCAGCTTCATGACACACTAGTACCTTTAGGACTCTATCCCTGACTGAGCTGTCCTCTCTTCTCTGCAGATGCTTCTTCATACAGCTCCAGAGAGACCACTGGTAAGTACTGTCCTTTGACCAGTATATTTATGACCAGGGTGATTGCAGACACAGAGTGTTGAACAGTCCTTGTCCTGGACGGCCCATGCCACTGTCCCAGCATGTTCACTGGAGGCTTCCCCTTTCCCTCTCAGAAATGTCTCCATTATCTGATGGGGACATTCATCACATTCCTCATGTGATATAACTGTTTTTCGTAATAGTGATAGTTTCTGTCAAGCTACTGATGTTAATGGAACTGATGCACCAAGGGCTTTGTGGATCAGCTACTTAGTTCTCAGCAGGGCTAGACTCATGTCAGGGCCTGTTAGGAAGACACAAGTGCCTGATGCTGCTACTAACATGACGTCATTCTTTGTCAGAACCTGCCTTGACCTCTCTCAGGGTGGGCATGGTGCACTGTCCGGAGAGACTGCCAAGATTTCTCAGTAAAGAAGGCTGTTTACCCTAGATGCACAGCTTAGGACTCCAAGAGAAAGAAAAAGAATGTGCAAGTGGGTCTAAGAGGAAAATAGAAAAAAGTGTGAGACTGAAAGAAAAAGATGAAGACAGAAGATAGCTCAGAAAAGAGAGGAGAGAACACCTACAATGAACAAAGATAATTCTATGGGAGATCCAGGGGCAGGGAGAGAGCAAGGTATGCAGCTTGGTGGAAAAGTGCTAGCCTGCCAGGGGTCGGGTTTCATCCCCAGCACTGCAAACACAACAAAAACCCCAAGATGCTCGGAGACAGATGCAGATAGCAAGAAAAAACCTAATACTTAGTAGTCTGATGAGCTTTCAAAGGAACAAAAAGAACAACACAACTGTAATACAACTGTAATTTGAAATGGGTAAAAACTATTTCTATTTTCTAGTCATAAGTTCACATTTTTTGTGGTCCCATTTTACTTGTGTCATGTGTCATCTGGGAAAAAAAAGTAACATTGGGCATATTAGCAGTTAATTGTTTTTAGAATCCTTTTTTTTTTTTTTTTAAGGATCAAAACATAAGCCAAGGCAAGACATTTTAGAAGGCCTCTTTGGGAATATTTTCAGAGAAAAACTGTGCCATTTAGTGACAGGGATATGGAAACAAAAATATGTTCATGATTTAAGAGAACAGTACCTGGGCATGGTGGTACATGCTTGCAATCCCATTAGCTTGGGAGCCTGAGGCAGGAAGATCACAACTTCAAAGCCAGCCTCAGCAACTTAGTAAGGCATTAAGCAACTCAGAAGGACCCTGTCTCAGAATAAATAAAAGAGGAATGTGACTCAGTAGTTAAGCACCTCTGGGTTCAATCTCTGGTACCACAAAAAAGAAAAAAACAACAACAACAGTAAATAGCCAACCTAATTTTTCTCCTGACATCACAACCTACATTAATCTTTGTGCATAGTTTTACATTTTTTATTTACTTTTTAAAAATTGGTAATATTTTCACAAGGTCTAAAAATGAAAAGTTACAAAGGATCTGCAGTAAAAAAAAAAATCAAATCCTATATCTGACTCAAAATCTTGCAGAAAGGAAACAGATACCTGTGCATCCTCCCACACAGGCTGTATATAAACAAGTACATAAAAAGTAAATGATGCTGACAGCTGGGTTTTTGTTGTTGTTTTTTTATTGTTTTGCCCCTAGTTGTCACTTAGTGGCATATCTTGGAGATCCTTCCCTATCAGTACATAACTCCCACTTCATGCTTTTAGCATGAACATCTTATGGATCTGTCACATCTTATTTAGTCAGTTTGCTCTTTGGGCATGTGATTACTTGTACACTTTGGTTATATTATGAATRGCAATTGTAAACCTCTTGGTGAGAGTATACCTATAGGATAAAATCCTACATGCAAAATTTTCTAAGTAGATCTTTGAACAAACTATTTGATTATAGGCTATAATCTGTCATCAATTTTTTTTCTACTTTAGGACTTTCACTGTGTTAAAATACCAAAAATTCTCTCAAATGTCTGAAATATGACATAATAAACATTAACTGAACACCTACAATGAACAAAGATAATTCTATGGGAGGAACTGTGAAAATACAAAGATTAAAAAAAAACATGTCTTTCATGTATGAATACGGTTTCCTTCCTTTAAGATGCTTAAACATAAGAGCAAATGGTCACTAGGCATGAAAATGAGAGCTAAATTTATCTGCTAGTAAGAGATACTAAAATAAAAATTGTGTTAGTTTTCTAAAAATTCTAAGTAATGGTGCCTTCAAAGTATGTCACATGCCATCCGTCCCAGCCACCCTGTGAATGAGAAGTCATTATGTGTGGCCAAGATGCTCACTGGACATTGGGGCTGCTGTTATTTCTGCATGAGTAAGCAATCAGTTGAGCTCATCTCTGTATAAAAATATTAATAATGCTTGGCCATCATTGTTGCTTAGTAAAAATTGACATTTTACTCTACCTTTTGATCTACCATTGTCATATTTTTTTAAATGAGTTAAATGAATGATTATCATTGCTTTAAAGAGTTGCTCTTTTAATTCAGTAGAAAATGGTCCACAGCAGATGCTCAATAAATATTGAATGGGTAGGCAAATGAATAAATGAATTTGAGTGCTGCACATTTTAATAAATATTTAAGAAATGTGATTCAAAACTCCATTCTTTTAAACATATATTGGCTCACTTGGCAGCCCTTTTTGTCAATAAATTTATTCAATTGTTCCAATATCACATCTCTGGCCCTAACGAAGCTATTCTTAAAGAGTCCTGGTTGTAAAATAAGAGGTTAGCAAGCAAAATACAGCGGCCTTCACACAGCCATGCCCATTTAGTACACTAGAAATGAAGGGTTTATTTTTCAGAATGTTACTGTGCCTTTGACAGGGGCTGCTCCTGTCATGTCACTCATCTACCCTCAGTATAAATTAAGTTCTTATTCTGTACCAAGTATGGCCCCATACTGCTATGAAATGCAGATTTCTCATTACAAATCAAATGTCACTTCAGTTTTGGAATTTTAAAGGTTGAACCCAAACAATTAAGTATTTATTTTCTAGTTCAAACCCAATACTTTTTTTTTTTTTTTTTTTGGTGGTACTGGGGATGGGATGCAGGGCCTCACATGTGCTGGGCAAGCACTCTACAAATGAGCTACTCTCCCAGCCCTGAACCTGACATTCGGCAATGAGAAAGAAAAAGAAACACCTGCCCAGGAGCAATGGTTGATGATCTCCTTCAAAATCATCTCCATCTGACACAGGCACATAGCACTGTGGTCTCAGYGTGGTGGGCGTTGCTACCCTGTGCTGGGCCTGGCCTGTTGAGGAGCTACCAGGGAATGACTTCTCCATCCTTACTGAACCTGGGCTCTGGCTGTCTCAGCTGCCTTTTCCAGCTTAGATCAGCACCATGGGCTGAAGTCAGTGGCCTTCCGCATAAGCACCAGCTTCTTCGCCCTCTCCTTCCTCCCCTCTTCTCTTCCTTTTTCTCCAGTCCACACCCTACAGGAAGCAAAAGGGTTAGAGAACTTGGCAGGTGTTTCCATGGTTCTGGCTTCCATTTCTTTACTAACTTTGCTTGGCTATAATCAAAACAGAGAGGCTCAAGACCTGGGTTAAGTCATTGAATTCCAATGGCTTTGTTTTATCATTGACCCAGGAGCCCTCCTCTCCCTTGCTTTTGATTCTGCCGTTTTTATTTTTATTCAAAACGAAACAGGAAGAAACATTGTGAAAGTAGAACCATCATTTCTATCCACTCGCCTTTCCCATAAACCTCTCCACAGACAGTAAATGCATGTCAAGCCTATTAGCCAATGTGGGAACATAGTTCACCATTGAATAAAACATCTCTGCTATAAATAAATAAATAAGTAAAATTATATGACTTCTTTTTTTTTTAAGTCCTAATGATAACTAATGTTAAGTTTCTGTTATTTCTTTTCTAACACCTTTTCTATGCTTGCACTTTTGCCCACATGTGGAATAGATCAAATTGCATGGCCCTCAAGAAATGTTAGTAACAGCAAGCTAATGGGAAGGCATTTAGACCATTCTATAAGAATGTAAATTGCCAAGAGTTTACCAATTCTTAGCAATGAACATGATCCTGGGATTCTCAGATGGTTTAAGCTTAGTTTTATTGTTTTACAGTGATCATCTCCACATCTGTCACACTTTCTGTAGTGTTTGTGGTGTCTGCCCTGGTGACCTGCATCAAATTAAGGTAAGTGGCACAAGAAAACCACAGGACCAGATTCTTTCTTCCCAAGAGAAAAGAGCTACATCAGAATGATTCTGGGATGCCCTCACAAAGAAGAATCCCTTTCCCAGCCACAGACTTTCACAGTGAGCCCCCTCTGTATCAGCCAAAAGGAGCTTCAGAGTGGAGCAGGACTAAGCCAGTCCTAGAGAGCCCTAGAGAGCCTTAGAGTGACCTAGAGAACCCTAGAGTGCCTTTCACTTCCCACAGTTCTCAAACCACTGCTCTGAAATGGGAGCAGCAAAAACCAGGTCGGCCATGCAGGGGCCAATCTGCCAAGTCAGAAGGAAAGGATGGGGCTGGGCATACAGCACAGGGATAGAGCAGGTGCTTAGACTGTGTGGTGCAAGACTGTAGGTTCAAGCCCAGCACCCAACCCTGCCTCCAAAGAAAAAGAAAGAATACACCCAATGCCAAATTGAATGAATACGCAATTTGTATCAGTTCTTCTTATGACATCAATATTTTCTTCTCATATGTACTTTTTAAATATGATTTCTTATAAATATATTCATTCACCAGCAATTAATTCTGTATTTCTAATCATTGAAATTTGCATTTCAGCATTTATGAAAAGTCTATTTTTTGTCAACATTTGTTCTTTTGTGTTTTTTTGTCTTTATATTTTTGGTACTAGAGATTGAACCCAGAGGCACTTACCACTGAGCCACATGCCCAGTCTTTTTTATTTTGTATTTAGAGCAGGATCTCGCTAAGTGCTTAGGGCCTCCCCAAGTTGCTGAGGCTGTCTTTGAACTTGTTATCCTCCTGTCTCAGCCTCCAGAGCTGCTGGGATTACAGGTTTATGCCACTGCACCACACAGACATTTGTTTTCATATTTTCATTTTTCTAATCTTTAGGCATTTTATCTTTCTTTTGTCAAACCCCAATAACATATACAAAACCCCATTTTGTAATTCTGTCAGTACCAGTATTTCAGTATTCCATACTGATAGGTTGCTCTGAATTTTTCCTCAGCATTATTCTATGTATAAGTGTCAGATTTGTTAAAACTCATTTTTAGTTTCTACTAGTAAAATAGTACATGTTTTGTCAATATAAAATTATATGACCCTTGGAGCCTGATTTTGACAAAATAAAGAGTCCATGACAAGCCAAAATGAAAAGCAATTATTGAAAACATTCCATAAATCTTCAAAAGCTGATAATTCCAGACCAACTAATAAGAAATACAATAAACATAATAAATGATTTATTTATTACTCAAGAATTTGTTGAAACAATTCAAAAAATACTAAATATCAACAAAATAGAAAGTTATTTTTTAAAGGACTTTCAAAATATTGTTATAATTTTCATATAAAATGCTGTAATTGGAGTTTAAGAACTTACATCTATTAAATATATTCATTGACTATATTAACAGGAATGTCCATACTATCTTTCTAATAAGTATATTAAAATATATTCTTAAAAAAAGAATTTGTTACTTTGATATATACAACCAATAAATATGCTCATAAGAGGAAAATATCAATTTATTTACTATATTAAAAATGTATAAATATGTCTTTAAGAAGAACTGATAAATATATGTAATTTCTTGGTCGTTTTGTGAATTGACTCTTTCCATAAACTTTTTTTTTTTTTAACTGGATAATAGGTACATTTGCCATCCAACAAATTGTTTTTTTACCAAATTTTTGGCAAACTGACCTAAAGTCCTCATTTAGTTTAGCTCCCATTCCAAGAAACTCAAACTGCTTCTCTTCTCATGGCCTAGGGAGCTGTTCATCTGCAGGCAGGACATTCCATAAGCCATGGAAGAAAGTGCTGAGGTAGCCACTCAGGGCCTGAACACTGAGATAGCTCCATGACAGGCAGGCAAATGTAATCGGACTCTGTCTCTCTATTCTTATTATCCAGGAACTGATTTATTTATTCATTTCTTGAATACTTCTTAAATTCTAGGAACTGGTTCAAAAGTTTCATGAATATTAAATCACTTTTACCAGTATGATCAAGCCTAGTTCAACCAGGCCCCTGGTTACTCTTTCCTTTTCTTGTCCCTCTACCTGCAAGGCTATTTAGGAAGAGGATTTGGCTAGTGGGAAGTGAGGGTGGGAATTTCTCCAGCAGCATTGGTGAATCTTTGCAGATGAGGAATTGAGAATACCAAAATAGGATTTAGATACCATGTGCACATTTAGGTTTTTGCCAGTCTTTGAGCAACACAGACCACTGAGGATTAGGTATTTTATGACACTTGCAGGCAGGGCCTATGTCTGCTTATGTCACCCACCCAGTGCTGGACATACACTTTCAATAAGAAGTATCTGTGACTGGGGGATGACTGTGTCCTCTTTTCAAAACCTGTGAATCACTGGCTTTGCAGGCGAATTTTCCAGCCAACTGCTGTTGAAATGGAGAATTTGGAAGCGATGCCAATGACTAGGGGGAGCAGCAGCAGAGAGGAAGACCAGAGAAACTACCCGCAAAACTCTGAAACTCCTGGAAATCAGCCCAGCAAAGGATGGAGCCAAGGAGCCAGCTCTATTGTAGCTCAAGAGGGCCTGGAAGATATACAAGGAGCTGGGCATCAGGAAAAAGCCCACCAAGATCATCAAATGTGATGACCCATATGGACTGTGCCTGGGTGCCTCTTGTCTTAGTGAGTAGGTTCTCCAGCACTCAGATGGACACCACTCAGGGACCCAGGGGCCTGCTTCCCAAACTCTCAGCTGCTGAATCTCTCCTGGGAGGCCAAAGGCTCCAGGAAGCTGCTGGTTTCACTTACACTGACTCAGGACAGCTTCTCCGCTGGACCATCTATTCTGTCCCTATTCTGACTTGTAGTTTACAGAGGACAGGAGTCAACCTGAGGCTCTCAATTCATCCCAYGGCTCCTCCTGGATTGGGAGATATCTGCAGGGAAGACTCCAGCATTTGTGCTCCTAACAATCCTGTCTCCAGTGCTCTGTGTTCACTGAAGGGGAGCAAGGGAAGGCAGAACAGATTCAGAGAGAAATCTGAACCCAGTGACATTTTACATATTCATATTTATACTTCCTTGTATATTATACCTACATATTATATATGATTTGTATTTTGAAAGTGTGCTTTGTATAGATAAAATAAAATATCTATTTTCAATATAAAAAATGCACTGAAAGAATCACCAACAAGAAATGTTCCACAAAGGAAGGAAGAAGACAAAGAATGGGAATGCAAAGTCCCAAATGAGTGAGCTCAAGTTTTCTTTGTGTGTTGTTATTTTATTTCTGTTTATTCATTTATTCTGGTATTGGGATTGATCTCAGCTATATCCCCAGCCCTTTAAAGACAGACTCTCACAAAGTTGCTCAGGCCTCTCTAAATTGCTGAKTCTGGCTCTGAACTTGCAATCCTCCTGCCTCAGCCTCCTGAGCCACTGTGATTACAGGCATACACCACCACACCCAGCAAAACTTTTTTATTTTTAGGTGGAAAAAGGATATAGTGTTTCTTAGGACTTGGAAGTTAAACTTTCAGCTAGATGTCCTTATCTAGCTATAGATCTAAAAAATTCACACTTCCCCCTCTTGCTCTGCACAATATTTGCTATGAAGAAAAGTGATTCCTCATCAATTCCCATTTATCTTGATTTTCCTTGATCAAAAAATAAAACTCTTGGGCTGGGGATGTGGCTCAAGTGGTAGCGCGTTCGCCTGGCATGACGGGGCACTGGGTTCGATCCTCAGCACCACATAAAAATAATGATGTTGTGTCCACCGAAAACTAAAAAATAAATATTAAAAAACTCTCTCTCTCTCTTTAAAAAAATAAAATAAAATAAAACTCTTTTACTCTTTTTCTTTTAAAATCCATGTCTGGACATTAAAAAGTAAAAGGAGAACAGAAAGACACACTTGAAGACTACCTCATGTTCCAACTACCATCCACTTCTCCTCAAGGACCTCACACTGTTAGCTGAGCCTACACACCCTAGTCTCAGAAATCTACTCATTGCTTTCCCACAAATCTGTGCAACCTTGAGGCAGGAGCAGCCCATTTCAGACCATACCATCCCCAACACTTCCACTGCCTGGCGCATCTCAGAATCCAATGTGTGAATATTATTCCAGAATTTATACATACATGAGTCAGGCGCGGTGGCACACACCTGTAATCGCAGCGGCTTGGGAGGCTGAGACAGGAGAACTGCAACTGCGAGGCGCTAAGCAATTCAGTGAGACCCTGTCTTAAAATAAAATACAAAATAGGGCTGGGGATGTGGCTCAGTGGTCGGGTACCCCGAGTTCAATCCCTGGTACCAAAAAAAAAAAAAAAAAAAAGAATTTATACACACATGAGGCACTTTATTTATGGGAAAATACACTTTCCGGTTTCCTTCCCTTGGTGCCTGATTATAAATCTACCCCTGTTCTATTTTTGCTATTCTTAGCTATCCACCCTCTCCTCTTCAGTTTTGGGAATCTCCCGCAGTGTTGGAGTGCCTTGTAGCCCACAAATGCAGAGGACCCGAAGTCCCCTCTCCCTGCTCCCACCAAAGCATGACACTTGGGTCCATTGTTGCCTCCTGCCAAGTACCCAGAACTGTTGAATACAGAGGGAATGAATAAAATACAGGTGAATGTACAGAGCAGTTCTCAGCAATGGCCCAGAAACATCAGAGTGATTGCTATGCTTCCTACTCTTGGCTTTCCAGATTGCTTTAACTGTAATCCTTCTTCCAAAACTAATCCTCCACCTTCCTGTGAATCAATGATCCCATGATATTCTTCCAATATTTTCTTCGCTTACAACAGACTGCATTTCCATTACATGTCACTGAAAAGTTCCTAATGATGTAGAATTCAGTGCCAGGCGTGAGTATTACAAATTACAGAGAAGTAGGGAAATAAAGATCTGTGATTGGTTAGCTGCCTTGGGCAGGGGAGAGAAAGCTGAAAGTACTACTGGTGTTCTCAGGTGACAATTGAGCAGCCCAGGCACATGGTAAATTAGTTCACCGGAAGTTATTCTGGGATGGTACGCCCACCGAAGGCCTACCTCTGGGAGACTGCATTGCTGCTGACCTAAAGTGGTGCGGCTATAGGAGACCCAGGGCCAGGATGAGTGGCTACTTTTAATGGCACTGAAAAACTTAGAAAATAACAGTGTAAACCTCTCAAATCCCAATTCAAGCCAGAGGCTGAAACCTAGAGATTTCCCTGCTGAATTTTATCCCTTCAAGATGCATGGCCAAGATACCTGTAAACCCAACTCATGAGTTGGAGCCTCTGATCTGCTCAGTTTGCAGTCCCACCAGGCTTCCTAGCTGAAGGGTTGAACATTCACTGGATAAGGATGAGACCCCAGTACTAGAAGGAAAACATTGGGGAAATTTGGGGCTCACAAATACCCCAAGCCCACCCTTGTCCTCAAAAGCAGCCCCATATTGTCTGATAACACCCTAACATTTCTTCCTTGGTTGAGGAGCTATTTCTTCAAGAAGAAGCCTGTTTTCCACATGACCCTCTCCTGAGCTCCTGGTCTGCAAAGGAAGGGAGTTAGTTCCCCGAGTATCCTAGTTAGACTCTCTGGGTCACATAAAGCAGGCTATGCAGTGAAGTGCTCCCCAAAGGCAGTGCAGAACACTCCCTGTACACTCCAAGCCTCACCTCCCACTGTATTCTGGGGTCATAACCCTGCTTCCTCATGGGTCAGGCCCATCTGTCACTGCTCACCAGCCTCACATCCAGCCTACCTTTCAAGAGCCAGCTCAAATAGTATCTTCGCATGTTAACTACTGAGGCACACCAACCATCTGCCTCTGAGCTCTTGTAACATTCATTCTCTGCTCTGCCAAACGCTACCTTGGTGCAGTGGAAATGACATAACCTAGGCAACCTGAGTGCCAAGTGTTCAGTTCACTCTACCATTTGCTGGCCTTGTCACTTGAGCTACATGCACTGGCACTGCCTTGCTCTGAAGTGAATGATAACACATGTTATCAACCTTCTTACACAGGTCTGAGCTCCCATTTAAGACCTAGTTCTTATCTTCGAGAAGCGTACAGCCTGGTCAGAAGGAACATGTCAAAATCATCATACCATAGCAAAAACCTTCTACTACAAAGCAGTAGGTAGTAAATACCAGGTGAAGTGTGAACACTGTCACACAAGTTGTGTAGAAATGGACATTGGTGAAAGTCCTCAAGATCTGAGAAGTACTGTGGAGTCAGGACATGAATGGGAGGATGGGTGGTATTTAAATAAATTCTCAGGGAGCATTCTAAACAGGGGACCCAAGCACCACATTCAAGAAAGGAAGGGCAAGGGGCTGGGGATGTGGCTCAAGCGGTAGCGCGCTCGCCTGGCATGCATGCAACCCGGGTTCGATCCTCAGCACCACATACAAAGACGTTGTGTCCACCAAAAATAAATAAATTATTAAAAAAAAAAAAAGAAAGGAAGGGCAAAGGAGTTGGGCAGATGGCTGAGAAAAATGAGAAGGCCACGGCAGGCTCGGAAGCATCATATTTCTTAATGCCTCCATATTAGCAGGGTTCTGGGAAGACTGCTCAGTGACTGCTTTAAACAAAACCAAAACAAAGCAGCCTGAAAGAACAAAGGTTTTGCAATGAATAGAACCTTGGCCAATGTCAAGGCCATGTCTCTGGCTCCACCCAGCTGCCCACTTTTGGCAAATATCCTCACCACAAATGTAGGTAGTGCTTTTTCTAGGGCTGTTTCTTTTTTTTCTCTGGGCAAAGAGCCAAAAGTCCTAATTACAAAACAAGTGTATAATCTTCAAAACCCTCTGAGGCAAATGCACCCCAGCAGGTACCCAAGTTACTCCAGCACAAAAGTGGTCCTCGGCCAGCTGGAGTGCATGTCCTGTTGGCATTTTCAAGGTATTCCAGAAGCCCTGGAGAATGCAAGGCAGCTGAGAGGCAGCAAGTGCACAGAGCCCTCAGTCCTCTATAATCACAGCAGCTATACTTTCAGTTGGAAGTAAAATTCGGTCTGGAGAATTCCATGGCAAGGAACATCTAAAAAATCTTCAATGCTGTTTTTAAAAACTGTGGTCTCCTTTCTGTGAAGAGCTTCAATTCTGGCTCTTCACATGGTCCCATTCTTTTCCTATTTTTCTGAAGAAGGACCATGGTCTGGGGACTGAGTTTGAGTTTTCATCGAAGTTCTACTGAATAAAACATATCTAGTGGTCCTGGCCCAATTCCTCATCAAGCCTGTTTCATCCTCTGCAAAAGGAGGCTGAGGCTGCCTACCAGGTGGAGGGGAGGACTCTGTGGAATACTGAACAAAAGGGCCTAACAGTGCTACCTGGTAGGAGGCACTTCATAAATGCTGATTCCATTTCCTAAATGAGATTTCTTTATATATGGAATGGATAATCAGGGACCAGTAGTGGCTGCCTTCCCTGCTCCTTCCTTCTAAAATGAATTCTCACTTTGTTAGAGTTTTTTCTTTTTTACAAAGCCATGAGCATCAAAAGAAGGCTGACTGTACCCCAAGTTCCAGGAATGAAAGTGACTTTAAGCTATCCCTCCTTGCTAGTGAGTGGTTTAGGAATGGACAGGTGACCCAGCTCTTGTCAGCAAGATGTAAGGTAGGCTAGGGAAGCTTCTGGAAATGGTTTTCTTGCTACTAAAAGACACAGAAAAAAGCTTACCCCTTCCAATACTGCAGTGTCTGAATGCAATGCCTGAGATGCTGTAGACAGCTGGTCATAGGAGAAGCTGGCCCAATCAAAGCTGACACTGAAGGTGACAGGAAGAGGAAAACATGCCCGGGTTCTTAATAACAATGCTGTGTTAGATTTTTGTCACAGTGACCAAAATACCTGACAAGAACACCGTGGAGGAGGAAAGATTTGTTTGGGCTCCCAGTTTTGTAGATTTCAGTCCATGGTCATTGCTCTGGGCATGAGGTGAGGCTGAACCTCATGGTGGGAGAGTGTGCGGGAGGAAAGCTGCTCTCTCCTCGTGGCAACTAAGAAGCAGACAGAATTAGCTGGGGACAAAATGTAGTCCTCAAGGGCACAGCCCTGAAGTTCCCCCTCCAACCAGGTTCCACCCCCTGCAGCTTCAACCACCTCTCTCTAATGTCATCAAATCATTCTGTCAATGGGTTAGTCCACTGAGGAGGATAGAACCCTCACAACCCCATCACTTTCCCAGAGCCCCACCTCTGGACATTGCAGCACTGGGGACCAAGCCTCCAACACAATGATCCCGTGGCACATTGCTGATCTGAACTCTAACAGAGGCCAAGCTGCTGAGATGAGCAGCCCTGCAACCTGCCCTCCTCAGCACACCTGTATGAAATCATCACATTTCCTGTGTGATGCCCTCAACAGTCTTGCTTTTGGGTTACTCACAACACAATGTATTTCAATACTGAATTTGGTGTTTAAAGTGTAGATGTCATAAAATGTGAAACTGGCAAGACAGGGTCATAAGGCCCCTACTGTGTGAGGCTGTCAGTGACCTTGGTTATGTGCTGTGAAACAACTAATCCCAGCATTGCCTGTGGGTCCAGATTAGGAAAACACGTATTAGGAAAATCACTGCTAAAAAAATCCAGAACCACTGAGTTATACATTTAAAAAAAGGCAACAGAAAAACAATCCAGAATGTTGATGCTGTGTTGGCCACTGTTTGAGAGGCCTCAGTACAGTCCTCTAAAAGATGTTCAGGGTATGTGGGAGTG